TCCTTCGAAGGAGAACTCGAAAACACATGACAGTTATGACGCAGCGTGGCATCAGTACAGAGCGAACCGTGTCTCTGACAAGTAGAGCAAGTATCTAGTGCCTCGGAATAACCGTACCAAATATGTTCGTGAGTAGAAATCACTACACTAGCAGATCCTAGCGGAAGGTTATTTTGCCAACAACAAACGTCTACACAGATTCGTGAACTGCCTTGAAAAGGTGAAACGTGGTTTTCTCCCACCCATCTCAGCAATTTGATGTGTTCAATTCACCGAGGGTAAAGTTAAGGTGATAAGGTTACAATGTGCTGCATTATCCAAATGCGCTGCCAGCATGTATTAAACAACTGTCCCACTCCACTATACGCCAGCATTTACACACGTCAGTGTTAGCTCAGCAACCTCTTTGAGGGAGCTACCATCGTTTGGCATCCATAGTTCCCCCAGTGTTAACATCTTGCGCTCGAAAACATAGCAGGTGACAGATAAGAAGATAACTGAGCCATTAACACAATTAGTCCGAAGATACCTGGATGAACAGCAGGTCCCCAACCTGTGATAGCGGTGCATCATTACCCTGGGTTTCAATAGTGGTAGCCATTAGGAGAACGCCAATTATCGCCCAGTGATTCTCCTCCCGATGTTCTCAAAGGTGATGTAGTCGATCACAGCGGAGGCTTTAATGGGCTATGTTGAAAGGTATAACATCATAGCACTGGAACAACACGGACGCCGTCAACGTCGGTCATGTACTACCAATATGATGATTGCGCGTAGCAGTTGGACCAAAATACCCAGCACTGGGACCAGAACTTATGTAATCTACCTGTCAAGGAGACGAAACAGCTGACTACGATGGTGCACACTAGCGGGGCGAGATCGGCCAGATCACGTGAGCGGCTGACAGACTGGTTGTCGTGGTCAAACCGGAAGCTGACAAAATCAGACCGTCATCGCCGCACGGGTTGCAATGCCGCGAACGTGGTCCTACCTACCGTACGTTTGATAAGAGTCTTTCGATTCTGGTCAGTCGCCGTAGATCAGCCGCGCAGGTCAGGGTGAGATTGGAGCGCACTAATTTGCCGACCCACCAATGGCATGTAAGTCTACTGTATTTACTCACCCACGCATGTCTGGGGGTGTGAATACGACGTGAGGACGCATAGCGGTGCATGTGTCCTTGAAATATGTTAATTACCCCCGGCGATTTTGACGCCGCTCAGTTCAGATTGGGTCGCTGCCGACGTTTTTGGCTGGTGGTTTGCAACATCTCGACAGCAGTGCATAATGCATTGGCTACCGTGTTCAAATGTTGGTGGCGCTTCGACAGTTGCTTAATGTTATCCCAGCAAATGATAAAAGGGTTAGTGACAACGCTGTTGTAGACTGAATGTTACCTTCACATAAACCACCTTAGCAAAATAAGAATTCGTAACAATTAGACGGTGAAAATATGAGATGCTACTTCTGCATAAATGAGTCCGGAAAAGCTGTCGTTGACAGACTACTCCCGTCACAGTCTTGATAGCAATTGCAGGAACCAAGTGGGGTGCACGCCGTCTAATTTGTTTAACAGTGACCGTGACGGTGTAACATGACAGGCTGACAGTGTCGCTCAGTCTCTCAGTCTCTCAGGAAAACGTAGGTGTATATCAAACGAAATGATGGTTACATGCTGCCGTGTATGCCAATTAAGAGACTACTCGCTGCACGTGTTTGTGGAGAAGGACTGCCGATGAAATCGCATTGTATGCGTCATTGCGCAAAATAAGAGAGGTCATATGCCATACTGTGATGATTCGGAACCGATGGAGCTGACAAAGGATCCTTCTCCTGCTCTCAATATTCCAATGTATTCCAGCGTATTCCAAATCCCATCATATAAACGTAAGGGTTTGTGTGGTGGACGCACGCGTGTGAGTTAGCCTGACCTTATCCTTGTTGATGTTTCATCCAACCCGTCCATGTACTTTTGATAACCACTCACACGATCAATTGTTGTTAGTGTGCGACGTCCGTCCCATTTAAATACTGCATGAATCGTTTTCAGTCAATTGGCGATACATGTGGCTAGCAGTGCTAATCTGTCCAGTGCAGTTTGGCACGTTTGTGAGCTGTCGCAGATGGGGGTAATGTCACCTGCATACTGCTAAGTCGTGTTTTGTAAATGCAATCTCCATGACTTCGTCAACAGCGAAGTTGAAGAGGAAAGGTGACAACGGGCATCATTGTCTCACACCGCTGGAGATATTGAAGGGTGGCGAGAGTTTGCCGTAAGCCTTCACTCTACCCGTGCTACGCGCGTATAATCCTAGGATAATATTTACATATTTCTCGGGCACACCTTTCCTGAGTAGACAGTTCTAAAGGGCACATCGATCAACCGAATCCAAGGCACCTTTGATGTCGAGGAACACGACTACGGTGGGCCGCCAATATGTGTGACGGTACTCCAACAACTGACGCAAGGTGAAGATGTGCTCGATGCAGCCACGACCCCGACGAAACCCGGCTTGCTCCTCACGAATCTGGCTTTCACGAGCGCCAGTCAGTCGGCGAAGGATTACGGAGGCAAGTAATTTGGAGGCGATGGGGATCAGACTGATTCCTCTATGGTTGCCGCATTCCGAAAGTGAGCCTCCTTTGAAGATGGGAACAATAACGGAGCGGATCCAGTCGGTTGGGACAGTTTCCTGCTCCCGCATTTTCACTAGTAATTCATGTAACTCATCAACAAGAGCAGAGCCCCGAAATTTAAAGAGGGCTGGATGATTTCAGAAAAGTTTGAAAACAACCGGTTGGTACAGTTTCTGGGCAACGTTTCGCTTTTGACACAAAAGATTCCTCAGGCCGAGTGAACCAGTCGAAGATTGGTATAGCACTTATAGCGAACTGGGATGATAATCGCTACGAATGGGATGTAGGCAATAGTTAAAACGTGTTACAGGTTAACTCATCACTCCAAATAGTGCATGGAACGGTCACAGGTGGTCCGCGTTACGAGGTCATACATGTAAACCCTGTTAAGGATGGGTGCGGCGATGGTTTGATTTTGATTCTCTGCCCTGAATTCGTCCGCCGGCGCTCCTCAGACTGGTCGGGTTAACACAGCTCGCCACACGCTCGAAAGCTCTGCCGCGTCCTTTCTGTTAACGCAGCTGTTCACTTTGCTGATCTCAACTGCCTCAGCAGTCAGCCTCTGGGGAGTTGATCGCAACCCCTTTCTAATGATTGTAACGTTATCCAAGTCGATCTCATGCCCTGTATCTATCGCGTGCATCGCTACTGCCGAACTCCTTGGTAGAGCCATATATTCAAGCTCGTTTCTCGGTGGCTGTGTTATGCGTCTCTTGTGTTCCGCTATCCTTGTGCTTAGCTCTCTCGCGGTTTGGCCGATGTACACATGTGCGCAGCAGTCCTTGCAACCAATTTTTTAGACGCAATTGGTTGTCCTATCTGCGAGAAGTGGGTCTTTCAAGCGCACTAGTGTAGAGCGGAGCGTTTGGCCTTTCTGGAAAATTAAGCTTATGTTTTCTTTATTTAAGACCCTCTGGATGGCCTCTGAAGTTCCATCTTTATAAGGAATATCTACCGTCCCAATCCACTCGGTAGTACACCGTGGTTGAGGATTTAAAATCCGCTGCAACGGGTATCCGCCTCGGGTATCCACTACCAAGCAATTAGTTCATTGCTTCTTTCCGGGCGGCCTTCCTATCTTCTTCCTCTGTGCACAGAGTCTGGGCTCTGTGAAACAGTGATGAGGCGATTCCAGAATACACATGCTTTGGGCGACCTGAACTATAGTAGAATACACCATCTGTCTCCGTCGGCTTACGATATATCTTTGTTTTTGGACTACCCCCATTCCTGTGAACTAAGCAGTCAAGGAATGGCAATGTTCCACTGCCAGATTCCAATTCCATAGTGAAATGTCTGGTCTCCGCAAGAGTGTTCAAACGGTTTAGAAACTCGTCTTTCTTATCCCGTTTTATGCAAACAAAGGTGTCATCCACGTAGCGCCACCAAATTTTCGGTGAGCTACAAGAGTCAGTCAGCGCCCTCATTTCAAAATCTTCCATGTATAAATTTGCCAATGCAGGAGATGTTGGCGATCCCATGGCAAGTCCTAGTTCCTGAGTGTACAGTCTAGATTGGAACGTGAAATAAGACATGATAAGGCAAAATTTCATTTCTTCCGTTATTTGATCTACCGTAAGCTTCGTCCTCTCTCCCAGATTACTGTCCTCAGTAAGACGATGTTTCGCTATCTCCTAATCGTCGCATATTGACACGTTGGTAAAAAGCGAGCTAACGTCGAAACTGACCATCAATTCATCCGACTGAACCCCAAGACCCGACCCCTTTCTCGCAGTCATAAGTGTACTTTATGAACGTATTCGTTTGCCTTGTCAAGCGTTGCAATATGTTAGCCAAATATCTAGCTAGTTAATGCGTCGGGGAACCTATGCCATCTGCAATAGGTCGATTGGGTACATCATGCTAATGTATCTTCGGTAAGCCATACACTCTTGGTGAAAGAGATGATTTCGGGTATGTGTTGTACCATTTTCCCGGTCCTAGATGTTCCTTTACGTTCCTAAAGTGATTACCAACCTCTGTCTTATCCTTATTCATCAATGATATGACGGACTTATCATGGATAACCTTATATGGTCTCGTCACTAGGTGCGCCTCCAATTTTTCCAAATAATCTGACTTGTCCATTATCACAGTGGTTTGGCCTATATCGGCTTTTGTGATAACAATGTTCGGATATTCTTTTAGGGCAGTTAATGCGACCCGTTCCTTTGGTCTAACTGAGGACAGTAATCTGTGTCCAAGGCTGGTTCGAGGTTTGTGGGCGCCAAGTCACCCTCCGGCGAGTGCTGTGGCGGAAGTTAGTGCTCGCAAGAAATAAGCGGGCATCATCACACAAATGAAGTAACCGCTCACCGTTATCATTACGGAAGCCTACACCGTGCTGACCGCCCAGATGCATTTCATCGGTGGACAACTTGCCAATTTGTGCATTCAGATCCCCAGCAATCACAAGCGTCTGTGCTTCTTCTGTGGCAAAGCAGCTGGGTCAGTTGGCGGTACAAGTCGTTTTGTAGCGAATCATCGCTACAGTTTGCGGGCGCGTAGGCAACGATGATGAATAGACACCTATTAGTCCCGCGAGACTTCGAAGCTTTGAATGAGCCAGTCAATCGGACTGCACACATCCGGCTAATGATTGGAATCCAATCGACCAGAACAGCTATAGTCCGGGGACTCAGGGCAATGCCAACACCAGCTTGGCCGGTGCTCAAAACTGCATCATCACCGTATAGGCGCAATGAGAAAATACTGCTGGTGTCACCTGAAGGGGATCGCAGAGTGAGCACAGAGCTCGAGTCTTGCAGGCGGGTCTCCGATAAGTAGCAGATATCGATCGAGAGGGTCTCTAATGTTCGTGCAAGTACTGCCTGTTGACCGACCTGTAGCAATGTGCGTACACTGAGGCATGCCAAGCTGAAGGAGAATCGAGGGATCCAAATGGAAGCCGATGAACTGGAATGGACCGCTTGCTTGGACATGCGCTTATCGATAAGAGAGGAGTGACGCTCCGCGTTAGCATGTGAGTTGAAGCTAGAAGATAAACGCCTGGCAAAGCATGTTGGGAGGGGCCAAGAATCGGGGGGTTGAAAACTGGGGGGATAAAAGTGAAGTTGGAACGGGAACATAGGGGAAAAAAGCGTAAGAAGGGAAATAAGCAGACGGGAAAGCTTGAGCAGTAGCATCCAAACCTCTATCCACCCTGCTCGATGCAGCAGATGGGGCACCGTTGATTATCCTCTGCAGTGGCCAGAGCGTCAGGTATTTGTTTAAAGAGTGATTCCTTGTTTTGCGTGGGCAGTATACTGTCAGGTTGCCCAGGCCTAGATAGGAGAATGATTAGGGTTCTCAACCAAAGCATTTGGTTCAAAAACCTGACCGCAAGACAGCGAGTTTGGCGTTGGGCTATAAGGTGTCCGTTTTAAGGAATAAAATGCCACCCTCATTCCAACCCCCAAGCTGCGTGAGAAGTTCTTAGACGAGTTGCAGCGCTTGATCCGTTTGGGTGTTAGCCAAGGTTAATGAATCAATAGGTTAGGTTAGTCAGGTTGCGGTAGTCACTAAACAGTCATGTGGTTTACACGTGTGCATCGATCCTAAGATGCTAAACGCCGCGCTCAGAATAGAACATTTCACGATGCCAAAGCCAGATGACGTCTGACCGGTATTGCTCAAGGCCAAGTTATTCACAAAATTTGACCTCGCTTCTGCTTTCGGGCACATTAAGCTTGTCGAAGAGTCCAGTTAGTACACCACGCATGGAACGCCATTTGGACGCTGCCAATGGTTGCACCTACCATTGGTTTGAAAGTAACCAGTGAAATAGTTTGGCAACGCATTATGCCAACACTAGAAGACCTACTGAGGGCATTATGTGTATAAAAGAAGACGTGCTAGTTTTCGGAGTTACTGGAGAAGAGCATGACTGCAATGTATACAGATTGCTACAGTGCTGTGCAATCAGGGAAAGTAAACTGAAACGTGAGAAGCTTGAGTTGCGTAAAACGAAGTGGTTTTTCACGGACACGTTTTAAGTTCAAAAAGGGGGGCTGAGGACAGATCCAAAGAAAGTCAGAGCCATAAAAGAGATGCCACCCCGACAGCTGTGTGAAGGCTATGAGCAGGCTGAACGGGAGGGTGAACTATCTCAGCCGTTATTTACTCGGACTAGCTAAAGTAATGATTCCTATGCGGAAACTGACACATACAGGCGAAAGTTGGCAGTGGACCGTAGAGCAAGAGAAAGCTTTCCAAAAGGTTAAACAGCTGATCACAAGCGTCCCCGTCCTAGCGTACCATGATCCAATACTTTCCTTGATATCCAGTGTGACAGTAGCCGGTTCGGCATCGGTGCCGTGCCAATGCAAAACGGAAAGCCCATTGATTTCCGCAGCCGAACGCTAACGGAGTCCGAAAGTCGTTATAGTCAAATCGAAAAGGAAAGTATCGCGCTGATGTATGCTGTGAAGCGTGTTACTGAATAGACATTCGGCCGCCGAACTGTCTACCGAATTTACTGACCACAAACTGTTGGTATCCACAGCCAACAAAACACTCCACGCCGTTCCGCGTCGCCTGCGGCAGACGATCATTAGTCTCCAGAAGTATTAACCGGAAATCGTCTATCAACCAGAATCAAAGATTCCCATTAGAGCTACGCTATCAAGAGCATATCTTCTGGATGTGATTGTAACGCAAGAAGACCAAGACCTTGTTCATGCTACGCAGGTGGTTTCTGTCACAGAGGAGCATTTCCAGCAACTACTACGCCACACGGGAGCAGACAAACATCGGCAGTCCTTCTCCACAAACACGTGCAGCGAGTAGTCTCTTAATTGGCATACACGGCAGCATGTAACGATCATTTCGTTTGATATACACCTACGTTTTCCTGAGAGACTGAGAGACTGAGCGACACTGTCAGCCTGTCATGTTACACCATCACGGTCACTGTTAAACAAATTAGACGGCGTGCACCCCACTTGGTTCCTGCAATTGCTATCAAGATTGTGGCGGGAGTAGTCTGTCAACGACAGCTTTTCCGGACTCGTTTATGCAGAAGTAGCATCTCATATCTTCACCGTCTAATTGTTACGAATTCTTATTTTGCTAAGGTGGTTTATGTGAAGGTAACATTCAGTCTACAACAGCGTTGTCACTAACTCTTTTATCATTTGCTAGGATAACATTAAGCAACTGTCGATGCGTCACCAACATTTGAACACGGTAGCCAATGCATTATGCACTGCTGTCGAGATGTTGCAAACCACCAGCCAAAAACGTCGGCAGCGACCCAATTTGAACTGACCGGTGTCAAAATCGCCGGGGTAATTAACATATTTCAAGGACACATGAAGCGCTATGCGTCCTCACGTCGTATTCACACCGCCAGACATGCGTGGGTGAGTAAATACAGTAGACTTAAATGCCATTGGTGGGTCGGCAAATTAGTGCACTCCAATCTCATCCTGACCTGCGCGGATGATCTACGGCGACTGAGCAAATTTGGAAGACTCTTATCAAACGTACGGTACTACCGACGCTTCAGCGCCCGCTGTACTCAATTTTGCAGCCAGTATACTAATCTTCTCAGAGGAAACAAATGTAAGTTTGCTTTCCCTGACACAGTACACATGGCGTTCACAGAACTCAGAGTGCTGTCTCCAACCTAGCTCTCCTCACACCCTCCGATCCTTTTGCTCCCCTTTCTTTGACAACTGACGTTGCAAACCTTGCGGTACGTGGGCAGTGGGTGGGCAGTGGCCACCGCACGCTTTCTTATCCAAAGGCCTGCAACCAGCGGAATCCAGTTGCAGCAGGTATGGTAGAGACCTATTTGCCGTCTAATTATTTATTCATCAATTCCGATACACATTAGAAGGTCGGGTTTTCACGAGCTACACGGAGCATACGCTTCTTATCTTCGCCTTTAATGCAATTTCTGATAAATATTCATCATTCGAAACCAGACACCTAGACTTTGTCACGCAATTCACTGCTGACACGCGTCATGTCTCAGGTGTCGCCAGCCCCCTCGCTGATGCTGTCGCTCGCGTCAACCTCACCCTTCACTCTTGACCTACTGTCGATCTTGCCTTTATGACATAGGTCCAGACCAAAGACGAAGGCTCCCAACGCACCCTGCGGTTCACTTCACTGCACATGCAGCCAGTTCCTCCCCAAACCACGGACGGAACTATCCTTTGCGACCTTTACAACGGTTGTCCAAAACCCATGGTGTCCGTCAGTTTCAGACGCAGTCTTTGATGCCCGCCACTCTCTATCTCACGCTGGCATCCACGCATGTTTGAAATTGGTCACCGATCTTATTGTTTGGCCAAGTGTAAACAATGATGTTCGTAACTGGGGTCTACCCTGTGTCGACCACCAGCGCTCCAAGGTACACAGACACACACGTAGTCCTCTACGTTCATTCCATGCTCTGGATTCGCTCTCTTCCCAAGTACACTTAGACTTGGTAGACCTCTTGCCTCCCACTCGTGGATACGCATACGTACTTGTACATGTCGATCGCCTCACCAGATGGCCAGAAGCCATACATTTATCAGACTGTACGGCCGAAACAGTCATTCATGTGCTTCCAGACCGTTTGGAGTCCGACTACGGATGTCCAGTTACCATCACTACTGGCCGTGAAACATCTTTTAAATCTTCGCAATTTGGTACGTTCTGTTACTTCGTTGGCTGCCGCCATATCCACACGACAGCGTATCACCCTACGGCGAATGGCCAGCTCGAACGCTTGCATCGACAGCTTAAGTCATCTCTCTGTGCCAATTCTGACCCTGACTGAAGCGAAGATATTCCGCTAGTACTTCTAGGTATCCGCAGCAGCATAAAAACTGACCTGCAGTGCGCACCAGCAGAATTGGTCTATGGCACAACACGTAACCTGCCAGGAGAGTTCATTTCGTTACCTCACCATCGTGTATGCCACCGTCAAACTTAGCAGCCTTTCTTTCTTAACGTATGCATTTGCTGCGCCCGACCTCTCCTCGGAAGTAGACCTGAGACGTGCAAATGCACAGTGGACTCTCTACCTGCATCCAGGTCTTTGTCTGTATAGACGCAGTGCATCGCCCACTTCTGCCTCCTTACATCGGCCCCTTAAGCGTTCACCAACAAACTCCTAAGCATTTTACGTTAGACAAAAATCGTCACCAAACAGCGGTGTCCATCGATCGTCTTAAGCTGGCATTTTTCGAATGTACGCCATCAAGTTTACCTGGTACGTCAGCAAACGTAAGCTCGCCGGCAGCTGCATCTTCCGCACCAGGCATCCTAGACCCTCCTGTTACCCTTGATCATCTGCCAAGCCAGCCGCAACTCCAGGCCACTGAGCGACGCGGTATAGAGAGCAAACATCTAATCCTCTTTTCAGATTATGTTAACGTTTGCTGTATTCTTTAAGATGCGTATTTCCCACCTTTGATGGTAAGCGTGCGTTCCAATCACAAGCCCTGTGAAAAAAGGCAAAAAACTTAAAATACTTATTTTTAAAAAATATCAAAAAAGGTGCACGCATCTTTTCCGTATACTTATCTTGGTATCCATACCGCATTTCATCGCCAGTCCGGACTGCGTCTCACCCTCTTCAAAGAGCCAAGGCTCTTGAGAAACCGCGGAATCCACTGGCTCACCTGCCAGAAGCATCCGGCCCCATAATTCTGGCTCCAAGCAAATACGATTCCCCACTACCTGTACGACAGCGACTGGTCTGAACCCCCAAAAACGACGTCCGGGATTCTTCGTGGGACGACGACTTCGACTGCGGTGGGGGAGTGAAACATCTTAAGGGCAAAGGGCCTGTCGGCCATTTTCCGATTTTGTCAGTTATTTTTGCAGTACGACCAGCCCGCCACGACGGCCCACTGATGATGCGCTCTAGTTTACATCCAAGTAATAAATAACAAAGAACCAAGAAGCCGGGACTAAAGGAACTCCACGCCCGCCCTCTCTGTCCTTGTGCGCCTACTATAACCACGAATTTATCTTCCCATCCTCACTTTGTCCTCCCACCAGATTTTTCTCTCATAGACTTCCCTCATTCAGCCTTCTAGGGGTAGACCCCATAGTGAACATGAAACATTTAAGCTTTCAGTATTTT